AACCAAGAGATAATAACAGAATGTAGCCTCTGTCAGCTTAAATCTAAATAAGTAAATCACGTTACTGCTAGTTCTATACTCTAATGGTTTGGATTATGAGCCGTAGTAAAATACATTGTTGGATATTGTGAAATTCTGTCTAGGAACCTGGCAAAAACTTCCTAAAGCTATTATATGGCTCTAGTAACATGATTCTGAAACTACAATGCTTTTCTCCCTAACATAATAATTCAGACAGTGTCTTTGATAAATTTTCTTTCAATTAATACCTCAAATTACAATAGCTAGAAGATTCAGTATGGTTTTCTATAATCAGAATACCATTTCTTTGAAAAGTTTATTATATGCTTCAAAAGTTAAACATTTAATTCATTATTAACAGAAGCACATTTTCTAAAACCCCAGTGACAAAGTGGAATTATGAAAAATGACTGATTTGCATAAATACAAATTATGTACATGGAAGCCTAAGAAAAATAACTAATATCCATGGAACTCAATGCTTAATATTCTAATGCCAGAAGATCAGAGAAGATTTTCTCCTTGAGTACATCTATTTGACTTGCTTTTCTTTCTTTATAACTTCTGAGGCATCATATAATTAACTTTTAATCTTTATTTAACAAACTTTATCAGTTTTCTTAATAAAGAGAAAAAATATTTTGGTGATGAGAGTAATATGGTAAAATCACCAGAAAAAGGGATCCCTGACATCCAAATACAAATGTGATGTGAACTAATGTTATCTCAATAAAAAATAACAAATAACAAAAGTTAAAAATTGAATGAAACATATAATGCAGGAGAGAAATTACAAAGTAATAAACTTACTATATTTTGGACAAATATTTTTTACTACATCAAAAGATCTAAAATTTTCATCTTTCAAATTCTATTTAATTCTACATCATATCCAAGTAAGTGATCTAAAGAAATACTGGTATTTAATAATTAATATATTTTCTTGTTCTGATCAACAAGTAGTAAATTCTGATTCTGCAAGTCTCATTATCATCAAATTAAATACAATTCTCTTGAAGATTCACATAATTATCCTTATTCAATGTGTACATGAATTCATAGAGTCCTTCAGTGACAAGTTGTTCCTTTTCTTTTACTATTGTAAAATTCAGCCAATTTTGGCTCCTCACCATTTGAAAGAATAATTTTTGTTCTGGGTAGCCTTTTAATTCTTTTTATAGTTTATTAAGTCAATGATAAAAGTATAAAGGAGTTAAGTGGGTAGACAGGCAGTCCATAGGGGTAAACTGCTAAAGCACATAAAAATGCTTTACTGTAAGATATTATTAAAGGAAACAAAATCTGAGTGAAATACAAAGTAAGTGATATCTCATAATCTTTGCAGTATGTAAAGAAAGTAATGGGTCTGACATATTTATTGCTCTCTAAATTCAACAAGAGTCTTAGAATTCTAATAATGTTATTAATTATATATTATATTTATATATATATGCTAAGAAAGAAGCTTTAGTCATAACACTACAGTGAATATTAATGTCTAATAATATAGTTCTCATAATTGGTAAACTCAACTTAATTAAATATCTTGCAAAAACTTTAATCCAGATCACTTCATAGAAAAAAAATATACTGTTTCTCAAAATGCGAAACTGTAATGTAGGAAAGTAGCTAAAATTTTAATTACCAATAGTAACTTGATAAGAGTTCCCAATTTTTCATAGTGTTTTACTATTTTTATTTAGGGCTCATTAAGAAAGGGAACATTAAAAAATTCTGTGGAGTGAAAGGAATAATGTTGATTCTGATGACAGAACATTATCACATTATTTTTCAACTGCAGAGAAATTCACTATGAAATACTCTAAATAATTCTAAGTGATGTTAAAAGAGCCTATACTCTTTTTTTACGTTCCTGAAAAACCTTGAGAGTAATGAAGGCATCAGTTTGCATACATTAAATTTTGATACTACTTCAATAAAGGCTGGGATCATTTCAATATGCAAAATTATTTGCATGATTCTTGTCCTTCATGTGTCACTAAATTTGTATCTGATCATGGTTTAGTAAAGTTAGATCAATGCTCTCAACTCCTGATGATTAGTAAGACACTCTGTTTATAAAGTACTAATAATTCCCAGAGAGATTAATGAAAAAATTCCACTCACAAAGTACATGTTAACTAGGGATTTCTAAAGTTTGGTTTGAATTTTAAATATTATCAAGCCTTTATGTTGTTGCCTTAGTGATAGGTAAAATGACTATTTCAATCCTCATGGAAACATTTTCAATGATAAGCTATTTTTTCTAATGCATCTCATCTAGAAATTATGTAAGTGTATGTAAGTAAAGCTTAACTCAAGATATTCTCCACTACAGATGTCTGTGTTTAACTTCTCCTTTCACTTATTTTTAACTTTTTAAAAATGCATTGTAACTATTTTGTACTCCACCTGCATCAAGACACTATATGAACATTCATTCATGTTCAGAAGAGCATGTGCTGGGAGAGGCAATGCACCTACCTGCCCACCCGCTTTGATTTTTATTATTTTCACATTTTACAATGTTTCTTGAACTGAGGTCACATTGTTGACAACACTATATATTATTTAGGGGATTATGTTTATACTTCTGCAGATTATCATTTATGGCATAAGACTATTAAAGACCATGTTCTATATAATCATCACAGAAATAAAAGGATTTAGAATACAACCCTTAACACAATCTACATTTTGTGTATTAGGCTTTATTCCATTTCTAGGCTAACACTTGTCAAGAATATATTAAAAATGTATATATTATTGATTTTTGCTGTTACTTTTACTTCCAAATATTTTTCTAAAACATAAACTGGAAAAAGAGAGAGACAGAGAGAAAAAAACTTTCAAGAGAGCAATTATAAGAATAATATAGGATTATTAACACAAAACTACCATTATTCTGTTTTCCCAAAGGGTTATTTTAAGTTTAAAATGTGTTTTTTCTTAATTTTACTGGTTTTAAAATATAAATACTATTTAACAAGAGAGAAGTGATTCTGATAACTGCCTGAGTAGCAAAATAGATCTCAGAGAACCACACTACATGGAAATCAAGTGACAAGCATACTAAGAGATTTTGTGATACTATGTTCTATAGATATATAATTGATATATGATTATGCAATATTGATTTGAGTATTGAGAAGTTCCTTTGTTTTTAGGTGAAATGTAGTATACTCTAAAAGCAAAAGATCAATTAAAAAAGTCTCATTTGTGATGAACTCAATATACTTAAATATTAATGGGAATTTTAACATTGTCCAGATCAACTACTAGGAATACAACTTATCCTCAAGATATGAAGTTAATTTAAAATAAAATGAATTCACTGAAGTAGTCATGAAATTTGATGGCAAAAATGATACTTCATGTTATAAATAACAAAGGACTATGGAGCCAATGATAATTAAAGACTTTAAAATTGATTATAATGAAAGGCTATCATGCATTTTTCTCATGTTTTGGACTGACATTGTCCAAAGTAAAATGTAATGTAAAATGTCACAAATATAAACTATATACATAGGTATATATTAAATTTACCATTAAAAAGAATAAGTAGATGAGATTAATATTAGCAATATTTTATTCAGTCCCATATAGCCAAAATATTATTTCAATACACTACATTAAACTAAGATATTTTGCCTGCTTTCCACATTGCCAAAATCTAGTGTGCATTTTGCATATATGCACTATCTTAATTCAAAATAGCAATAATTTCAAGCAATGAGAGTGGCTGGTGGCTACTTACTACTAGACAGTGCAGTTCTAGATGCCATCACTCTTACATTACTGCAGAATTTAGATAATTTCTTATTAATATCTAGGACAAATAATAAATTCCAACTTAACTGATACTAACTGTGATATCAGCTTCTTATGGAGTCAGATTTACTTGTTCATCTTTATTCTACTTCTATTTCTATTAAATATAGATTATAACATTTTCACATAATGAAAGAGTTCTCTGGTAGAGCTTTATCAAATAGAATAGTTAATATGATTGTGGAATACATGTTCATTGACAATTAAAAAATATGTAATATACTGAGTTCAATGGATCATTGCTAAATTGGCTAACTATTATACTAAGATTTATCCTATTTTTGCTAGCAGCGTATTTCTGTATTTATGAAAATATATTCTCTGTAATCTGTACCTTTATTATCTGTATATCACAAAAACAAATATATACCTTTGTTATAGAGTTAACTTTTGTCATTTTAAAAGTACACTATCTCGTTTAATAATTCCAAGTCATTGCTATCTTTCCAAGAAATTTCTGATGGATCTAGTAGATGCAAATCTAGTAGAATTCAAGTCAATACTGCTTTTTAAATTTCTAAATTTCTTTAGAAAAACAATTATATGTATCTAAGTCATATCTGCAAACCAAATGGAAAAGCTTATTTTAAATCCACAATTCAAGCTATAATTATGATTGTTAAATATGAAAGTACAGTTTTAAGGAGTATATGTTATATTCAACTATTTAAGACTAGCTATAATGTCAAAAGTAATCCAAATAAAAGAAGCTTGTATAAAAAACTTAGGGTGCAAGCAAGGAAAATACTATGCCTAAACTGTTGTACATACATAAAATAATTTTAGAAAGGAAATGAAATTCATGTATAAATATTTACTCCTTAGCTAATTATAGAGATAATTATATTTTAATTATTTGGAATCTGGTGCCCTCTCTTATTTATCAAAAAAGGTAACAGTGATATTTTGAGTTAAAGTCAAGAAAATGATTTAAGAAGAAAAGCTACTGAACTTTAAAACAAGTCATGGCAGTAAGTTGTATTCAGTACTGGTCAGGTATAGAAATCATCACTTTTTTTTTAAATCACAATTACACCACTTACCCAACTTTTTGCTTCTATCTTTACTCTCCTGGTAAAATCATTATGTGTTTAAAGGGAGAGAGAACAAAATAGGTAAAGCTGCAGCAAAAGGTGCAAGGATACAGTCCCTTCCTGGAAAGAGGATTTTGTGGCGAACCATTTCTCCCATAATGCATCCCACAGACCATATATCCACTAGAACAGGAGAGAGGGAAGTGAAGAAAAGGGAGGAAAGTAAAGTTAACTGAGATAATTGATCTTTGAAGGAGGAGGAAAAAGAACAGTTTGATTAGAAGGTACAATTTTCATCTCCCAACAAAAGTTGGACAATAATTCAAACCAGTATTATGATCTCATATAAACCAGCTCTAGTATGTGAATTCCAATTATTTTGTAATTTTTTATGGGTTCCTAAGATTGACTCTTAAGCGTCATAAAGTGGTGACATTGAGAAGCAATAGCTAAAAACAATGTATCTCAATGACAGATGGTAACTAAAGGCCACCAAGGGGGTTTTGTTATCATTTGCTAGAGAGAGAAAGAATAAACAAACTTAATGGTGACTGTTTCTATTTTCTATTCTATACAGTTATGTAGAATGGGTTGCAAGAGGACATTTATTTGCCCAACATAAGATACATTCACCCAAGTCCAAGAAATGAGAAAATGGCTGGAACCTGGATTTCCAGGTAAAAAAAGAGGAAAAGCTAGCATTTGGGACTTCATTTTTCTCTCATAAGTTGTCCTTTAAATATATATAAGCTTTAGTTTCTATTTGAACTATTTCAAGAAAAAAAGGAATATGATTAACTATCCTGTATCTAAAGTAACATCTGGAAGTAAAGTGGAAAAAAAAAAAAAAAGATCACAAGTGTAAAAATAGTTTTAAGTTTACTTTTCAATTGTCATACTTGTAAACCAAACATGTTTCACCTTCTCTAACCAATCTTTTCCCTCTTTCAACTCCCATATTAGTAAGGACATGGGAACTTTTAGACAAAAACATTAGGCTGAAATGTTCCTCAGGGAAGGAAGGTAGGGTTAGGAGCATAGGACAGCAGGCATGCCTGATGTGGGAGCAAGCAGGTGTCTACATGATCACCTTCCTCCCACTTGGAGGGGAACAGCAGCATACGGGTGCTAGTTATGCCTTGTCCATGGACTGAGCGAAGCCAATAAACTAAGGCAGTACTTGCAGCCGTTCTAGTAAGGGGAGAAATGGATGCAGTTATATATGGTGTAACAAAGATATGAAGTCAAACTAGACAAGTTCGAATTTCCCATTCTCTATAGATTCTTAGTTTGAGTTTTCTTTAATTGGTTCTCTCTTTGATTCTTTTAAAAAAAATTGCAAAGAACAGATGCAAATATCTTCTTTTCAAAATAAATGAGCTGTGGTAACACCTTAGGTAGAGAGTTGTCTCTTCTATGTCAAAAGGTACCAGTTTATGTCATTGCCCACAAAAGGGAACTTGACCTTCGGCACTGCTGGCTTTGCCGCTTTTCTGAGAAAATATATAAACGCATTGGTTTTCTTCTAAACCGAAAGCACACAAATTTTTTAAAACTACAGTGACCAGGAAATTTTCATAAAAATATCCTGTAACACCTGGAGATAAAAGTATAATTATTATAGAAAAATAGAAGTCAAATAGCTAAAGGTCAGAATTATGAAAAACAACTATGAAATTATATGCAACCTTAATTTAATACAGTTTTAATTCCTAAGTATAATGAATATGATTTTAATGTGCCACATTACTTATTAGCCGTAGTCTGTTTAAAATAACAAATTTCTGTGCTTTCTAACAGATACATTATAAAGTTTTCATTTTAATTAGTAAAATAAAATTGGATAGTTTGAGTATTTTTGCCACTTTTTTTAAGTGTTCATGGATAGTAGGCTTTCTTTATAGAACTAGTAGTATAAAATTTCATATTTCTTTCTCCATTGTTTTGGAATTTATAAAATTTTCCTGGTCAATTATTGCCCTAGATATTATTTACAGAACAGAGAAAAGTATTAAAGAAACACCTTTAAGTTTGAGTGCTTTAGATAGCAAATTGAATATTCATTGAGCATTTATGAAAATTCTAGTTCTAAGTATTTGTGGCATTTTTTGGTTTGTCTTTCCTGGTGGAGCCATCAATCTAAGATATGATATAAAGCCAGATGGTTAAATGCAATAGGTATATTTCTTCATACTTTCATATTCAATTTGAGCTGAACTGTAACCCAAATAACAAAGTTTCTCACTATCTACAGTGTAAGTGCTAATCAGTATCTTCTTGACTACTTAATCAGACAACATTCATAATTCTTTTTAGCTGTGGTAGGTTAGTGTTGTTCTAATTGTTCTAGCAAATCTTGTTCTCAGAAACAACCTTCACATTTTTAACTAGTAACTCTTGCTTGTAATGTGTTAAAAAAAAAAAAAAAAAACTAAATATGAAAGCTGGCAGCTCTATTCTTTTCAGTAATAATTCACACACATGAAAGAGAACCCAGTTGTCCATGCTGATCTGGATGCTACTCAGAAATATCCCTACCATTCTCCTTGTAGCCCATGCCCAGGATGACCTCAGGGGCTCTATAGTAGCGTGTCACCACGTAAGGAGTCATCATGAAGCTTGTGCCTGCCGTCCTCGCCAGACCGAAGTCAAGGATCTTCAGTGTACAATCAGACTTGACTACAATGTTGCTTGGTTTTAAATCCTGGAAATAAGAACAAAGGAAGAAATTAAAAACCATTGTCACTTCCCACTCCCCAAGGTCCATGGCACTGACATGAATGGCTTTTCACTGCAAAGCCTTATATGAAGCAAAGGATTACCGCCGCAAAGCAATTTAGTTGCTTTCAAATTAGGTTTGAATTATTTTAAAGATCTTCCAAAATTTTTCTAGACCCAGTAGAGAATTTTTCTATCATTTTTACAATTTATGCTCATCTTTAAAAGGAGGTTTTAGGGAAAAAAAATAATTTGTTGTCATCTTTCAGTCTTCTCCTCAAGCAACTTAAACAGTTAGCTTATATTTCATTTTTGAGGTCTGACAGAGGAACAGGTAGCTGTCTTTATGCTGTCAGAAACCAAAAGTGAAAATGAACTGTCTTATTTCAGCTACCCATATGACCTCTACCAATCAAGGTGTGAGAAAGCATGAGGGTTCTCAGATACTGATTATCAATTAACTGAAATAAAATGTTAAACATAATCAACTACAATATAAATGCTCCTCTTAACTGCCAGTGAACTATTATTTGCTAGCTAATTCTATTGACAAGAAATGATGAAATGCATTATATCAAATTATGCCTCCCCTATTCTCAAGAAAATAATCAACACTTGCTCTTTCTCTCTTCTCCCAAAAGCATCTGTAATAGCTCTGAAGCTGGTGCTCTTACCCTGTGAATAATTCCAGCAGAGTGAAGGTGCTTGATGCCACACAACATTTGGTATAGCAGGTAAGACATTCGCTCATGGTCTAATTCCATCTGAATCACCTGACACAAGTTGGCATCCATCAGTTCCATTACTAAATAACTGGAAGGTAAATCCATAATATTAATTCCACATACAAGAGCTGTGAGTCATTCAGACAACTTATAAATTTCCAGCTCCAATTTTGATTACATTTAGGGTTAAGCAAAACTTCAAAGTGTTGGAGGTATGTTGCTTATGGTAACTCTTCCACAAAGTTGCCAATATTATTACAGGTATTAGTACATACTTCTTGTTCATACATTTTATACTCTTGTTCTCATTTTCCCTATACCTTCCCAAAACTTTCCTGACTACTGTGATTACAAGTTATCAAATAACTCAAAATAGCAACTTCCATTAAATGCAATGCATTTGTGTTAAGTAAACACTATGGGTGCCTTGGTGGAAGATGTGGTGGTGTAACAAAGTGATCTTATTCCTTTGAATCATACACAACATGGTAAACCAAATTTGACACAATTTTTAAAGATAATTAAATTTTAAAAAGTTGCTGGGATTCACTTCTCTCCTCTACTTATTGTCACTATACACCTAGACACTTATTCAGTAAATCAAGTGGACGACTAAAATAGAAATAAATAATAAACACTGTTTTTATCATGTCCCTCATTAATATTTCTCAAAGTGTATTGACTTATTCTACAAACTCAGAATCAGTATGATACAAAATATATAATAAAATAATAGCCTTCCATGATTAAACCAAGTAAATGGAAGAATGAAGTACAAAGAGTCAAAAGGTCAGGAAGAAGCAGAAATGTATCTCCAGGAAGTAGTATCACAAATAAAAGCTTCTTTCCCATCAGTAGATCCCTTTCATTTGCTGCCAGTTTTTACCTGCCTTTGATCTCTAAGAGGGATTTCAAATAACTCAATGGGAACTGACAAGGAGCAATTTGTCTCATACATTTGTGAGTTTTGTTACTTACACATCTTGGAACTCCTCCAGTGTTTTCTGGGGTGTGAAGACATTTAACAAACTAATAATCTAGAAAAGAGACCGTGAAAGAGACAAAGGATGGGAGAAAAACAAGAGAATAAATTATTTTAAAAGCATATATTTAAAGCAGTGTTTATTCTAACTCAAAGTAACATACCAGTGTTACAGTGGAAATAGAAAAGTTGGAAAAATATCCTAGGAAGGTCTCACAGAGCATAAAAAGTTTGCACGAAGGGAAATACAGTCTGTATACAGAAAAAGGTTCAGTTAAAATATTAAAGGAAAAGTCAAAAAGATATATGATTGTGATAATTGTGAGTGTGTGGTTCTCTTTGGTAAGATATGAGATTATAATACAATTAAAATAAAAAGGTATTAAAAAAAGTCACATAAGAAAAGTGAGATAGTAAAACAGTCAATAAAACAGCCAATAAAAAGTCATTTTCTTCAAATGAACAAAGCGATGCTCTAATGTTAGATGGTATTTTAATGTGAGATTTTATTTTTGGCATTGGAACTTTAGTTTCTTATGTATCTATTCTCAATTCAAGTATTATTTAAACTGATGAATGTGTGGGGAAAGGCATGTATTGGATACTATCAATGATGAATTTACTAGAATGCATAAAAGGCTATCCAAATTCAGTTTCTGAACCTTTTTTGTCCTTTAAATATTATATATTAAGTAGTAAAAAAAGATTATCTTCTAACAAAAGTAATTTAAAAATTTTCCTCTGTCATATATCCAAATAGATTGCATATGTAAATAAAATAAAACACCCTTTCAGCTATATCCCCTGTACTAATATGCCAGTGGGGAAAAATTGAAAGTATACATAATAATCTTTTATTCACAGAATAGATATAACCATTCAGAAAAATTCTCAGTATAAGATTAAGATCTAAAATCTTTAAAATAGGAATTTTGAATGTCATTAAATTTTACTAGTAATAAAACAAAACAAAAATTTCAAACATATGAAAAACTCAGTCAATCCCAGGAAATGTTATATTTGCTAAAGAATCATTAAATAAAAAAAAAAATCACATCACCATCCAGTATTTGTTTGTGTGTGTGTGTGTGTGCATGTTTGTGTATGCAATGGTAACAGGACATAGAAACCTATGGCTTGTAATTCCTATACCAAAATGTGACCATCATGTCTTTTCAAGTAACACTTCAGTATGGAACATGTGTATGGAAAAATAAAAAACAACTAAATAAACTTAATTTTTTTATTAAGATGTCCTCTTATTCTGTATACTAAGTTGTAGCATGTTGAAAAATGTCTACATAATACATCTTTCACTGAACATATATTATGGGACTGCTTTTCTAGTAGTCTATCAGTCTTGAAAAGTAATTTATTTTGATATTTATTGAAACATAAACATCAGAGACTACATAAGATACACATATACAAGCTAAAATACTAATCCATATTCTTGGTAAATAAATAACATAGTAATTTTAAATTAATATGGAAAATAAATTTATATTTTAAATAAATTGAGCTATTATTTGAATGTCATTAAATTAGTTAAAGAGTAAATTAGTTAGTTAAATTAAATTAGTTAGAAGGTAAATTAGTTCCCCATGACCTTGTTGTATTACTTTCTTCTTTGATTTCCCTGTGATGGTTTCTCCTGTTTTACTTTCTCCCTTAAAATTCTAATGGCTAATTAAAGGTGTTCTCTTTATACATAGATCATCACAGATATTTCCATTTTAGTTTAATAGTTTCTGGGAAGGAATATGATTCACTTCTTTCATTGCAGCATCTTAAGGTGCACAATGTGATTTAGGATTTGTCATAACCCCACAGTCATACCACGATGATCACTTCCTGAATTAAGTATTTTTTAAGAGGATTTTCTTCTCCATGATTACAAGTGATTACTTCACTGTTTATTTCTCAGAATTCTGCATTCTGAGTGCTTTTACTTATTCTACAAATGCTAATATGGGAATTATATTTGGTTGTAAATGAACTTCTCTGCTAGTATGTTCCAGAAATATCTATAGCTTATGCATCATAAAAGGAGAGAATCATGTAAGATGCTATTTGCAAATTTGTCATTTCAATTTGTAACTTCACTTTCGGTCACTTTGGGTAGGTGTCTGTGAATCCTTACATTTTAGTCAAGCAGGGAGAATGAGTCTCTCAATTGGCCAAGTATGGATGTGAGGGCTATAACGTCTGTCTCTGTTGGTTGCCAAGGTTGATTCTGTTGATCTGATTGACTAGTCAGGTCTCCCTCATAGAAGAGAATGACCTTTCCTGAATGTAGACAGATCTGACCTTCTAAATCAAAGATACCAGAGTAGCTATGTTCCTTGCTAGAACCTCTAAACAAGTCTCAGATTGGTCAAGTGAACGGCAATTCCCCATTATGCATTTACATTATAATGTTAAAAAGAGAGTTAAGGACATAAAAATAAATGCGGACACAAATTGTCAAAACTTTCTATACTTTGTTGCTTGTATCCATCCATCTTCCATTTCTCATACTATATTTTTCATCCTCTTTGTTACCATTAAAATAGATTACAGTGATCATGTATTTAATCTTGTTCTTCCTACCTTATCACTATGGAAACATTCTTTAGTATCATGATTTTTCTTAAGAATCATCTTTTCCATCACTTCTATTTTTCTTCTGGAAGTATTGTGTTCTTTAATAGCCAAGTAAGCAATGGATACATATTTTTTTTAATTTTCCTTCCTTCATGAGATGTGTCTTACTCACCCTATGTTAAAGGGGAACACTACTTACCCATACTGACCAAAATTTTTCATCTCTGCTTTGATTACTTAAGTGCTTTTTCCCATATGACATTCTTTATAGTACCTATTTCTTACACTGGCTTTCTCTCAACAGTAGAACATGAGTTCAACATGGGGAGGTATTTGTCTCTCTTATGGTCAGTGTTATATCCTCAGTATTTACAGCAACTAAACCTACACCTGGCTTATTTTATTTACTCAAAAATATATGTCAAGTGCCTGAACTAATGGGTCTTTGGTGTATTAACAGTGAAGATAAAGAAAGACTGTCATGAGACAATTCATATATTTGTATTTCAAATACCTTTTTTATTTTACCTGTACTATATAAAAAATTAAAGTACATGTTTTACTTTCACATTGTGATGCTATGAGGGACATTTTTAGAAAAATATATAATATTCTCAAGAAAGCTCTTAGTGTTTTATTATTCAAGTACTTGTTTTTTATGAAACACATATCTATATCCGACCCTTTCCTGTGTAGACAATAGCTCATTAATAAAGTGTAACTTTGAATAAATTAGTTGGTTTATTAAATGCTTACATTTGCTGCTGCTTAGTGCTTCTGATAAGTGTCTAACCTTATGAAAAATTCAATTGTTTCTAAAATCACACTGGTAATTTCATGTTTTCTGCAACAATTTCATACTTAAAAAAAACTAGGGAATTATGGTAGTTAATATAGTTTTATCATAATTCATAATTTATTACATTATATATTTATATGTAATAAATTATGGACGGTATGTATTATTATTTATGTATTAATAATAGCCTTTATTAAAATGATGGATACTCTTCCATTTATCCTTACTAAAAATGGGCACATAGATAGCATTCTAGAAGCCACTTTCTATGGTTAAAGACATGTCTTCTCTGAGGTGAAGGAAGCTCTGTCATGTGCACCCAACTGGGTTTCAGAGAGAAATGCTCATGACAATCCTGTTCTGCAGGGCTTGTCTCTGCATGTTTGCCCAAACCTACAGACACGTTATGCCAAAGCACAATGTGTACAATGAACAGTTGAAGCCCAGTCTTAGACTATAGATAAGAGGAAAAGAAGGTTAAAAATCTTCACCTGTTAATAATCAGAATTAAATTATAAAGAAATATAGCATATTATCCTGTAAGATATTTTCATATGAGGGTGCTTGTTGTTTTTGCTTTGGAAAGGTATAAAGCTCTCTGGTTAAATTGGGGGAAGATAACCAAATATGGTTAATTTCATAACAGCTAAATATCTATCAAATCCTTTCCTTCCACACCATATGGTTTTTAGATGGTTTTTAAGCAGAAAGCTACCAGGAGGACAATGAAATCAAAGTAGCATATGGGCAGGATAAACAATCTCAAGAGGCAGAAATTGCAAAGAAAAGAAAGCCTTGTCTGCTCAAGTTGGCATCCTGATTTTCTTTCCCCAATCTCACAACCTCCTACTGCCAGAGGTTTAAAAATAACAACTCACGTTTTTATGGTTCACACACTTCATGAGGACCAACTCCCGGTAAGCTCTCTTGGCATGCGTTTGGTTCTGAAAGGGTCTGCTGAGCTTCTTAATGGCCACATTTCTGTCCAGGACAGCATCATACGCAGCACTGCAGAGATTCAAGAACAATCCAAAATTAACACAAAGGTGCCCTTAGAAATCTTGTTTTGCAAACTAAGGACATGTGTAAGAAACTATTATCGTGGACTCCTCCTCAGATATCTTCTCTTCAGTTCACACACTTGTTAGGCTGTAAGTAAAGATGTAAGAGTGACTAGTATAAAAATATTCTACTTGCTAAGAAAAGAAAAAAGAAAGAAGAGTATTCTGGGAAGAATGTAACAAATGCTGCATCAGTGAGCAGGGAACAAGAAAAGAAAGAAAAGTTCAGCTTCCCCACCAGTCACCTGAATGGGGCAAGTCGATTTCATCTCTCTGGTTTCGAATTTCTCATCTGCTAATGTGTGATATTTAGATTTCTTTTCTAGCTATAAAACTCCATTATTATTAGTTACTTTAAGTGGATGTTCATTCTTTCCCTACTCACAGGAACCATTTATTAAGACATGAAAATAATAGCCATGAAAGCATAGGTTGGTTGATACTCGGTGTATGCACTAATAATAAGAAAGCTGAAAACAAAAAATGCAATTAGAGGGGATTACAGAGCATAAATAACTTCATTTAAATATAATGATGGAAATAAATACTACAAATATTTGAAGCTTTCAAGGTATTTTATTATGCTTTGGAAAATCTTTAAATGCATAGCATTTTTTTCTCCCATACCCAGAATACAAGAGTCTAGATATCAAGTGAGGAAGGAATCTCTTTTTGCTGTTCTGTGTAATAAAGACACTCACAAAATATGTTTCTCATTCTGCAACTTTGAATTCTGTTGGAACTTGGCCTTAGTTGCCAAAAAGCAATATAACAACCAGAAAACACTATAATTGATTTATTGAATTGGAAGGCATTTAGTCCCACATCACTAAACTAAAAGATAATGTAAGATGATAGACACTCAGGATAATTTGGACAAAGTCTAGCACTCATATGGTTCATGTCCCATTTAACACTTCCTTATTACTTACCAAAATTTTGACCAGTCTGCTTGAGCACCTCCAATTACGTAAACCCCGTTAACATCAAGGCAGCTTGTTTTATTGTTAGATAGCTTTGAGAGTTATAAACATCATTATTCAAAAAAGTCAGCAGTCTCTTCTGTGGTTTCTACTGACTACTGTCAGCCCTGCCTTCCAAGGCAATTCAGAATAAAGTATTCTCTTTTCATTATGAAAGATTCATAATGCATGAAATCCATTAAAGTAACACAAGCCTGGCCTACTTTGCAAGCTCTCAATAAGCACTCCATAACTTTAAGCACTCACAAAAATTCATCTTTTCGCTTTTTCCCTAAGTCTTTACTTCCTTAAGCTGAATATCACCACTGCCCTACAACCATTTGTCAGAATGTGATTTCAAGTTCCACCACCATCTGGTCAGTTTCCTCTGAATATTTTCCAGTCTGTCAATATCTTCTGGAAAATATGTGCCCTGAGCTAATTAAGCATAACCACTGGGATGTCAGTGAAGATTAGCGTAGGGCTATCAACTTCACTCACTCCTTCATTCATTCACTCTGTTGATTCAGTTAATTCAGTGGGTATGTCTATTTTCTTTAAGATTATGCCTTTTTTATTGTATTTTGTAATTGATGTAACACTGGTTTATAATATGGTACATGATTTAGAGATAAGCTATGTCTTAACTTCTTGACACTTACATCACACACTATTGACTCTGGTAAGTCTGTGAATCACAAACAAATTTTTCAAAAAAGTATGCTGCTATTAAACTGTGTCAGTGCAATACTTCTGTCCTTGTGTTCTTTTTGTTAACCTCACAGTCAAATGGGCCAGCATCTTATAAAAATGCACAAGGACAGAGTGGATTTGGAAATATGGAAATTAAAATTATTTTCTGAAAGTAATATATTGCATTAACAAGAAATTGACCAAAACAGTAACCTTAAAAAGAAAGCCTAAGGGCCCTCCCTGGTGGCCCAGTGGTTTAAGCACAGCACTAAGTTAAAGTCACTTCCACATGAGTTTGATCCCTACCTTGGAGGGCCCCAAAACTCTTCTGACCTGTCCGCTGCTCCCCTCAGCAGTATACACATCAATCTGCCTGTTCTGCTCCCCACTCTGTCAGTCCTCTCACCACCCCTGCACCTCTGGCCTGTA